CTTCCCTAGGGAGTATTTGACTGCAAGATAAAATTCGAGAGGAAAGTGTATCATGTTTCCATCGCTGTTACCAAAATACTGACAAGAGCAACTTTAGAGGAGAAAAAGTTCATTTTTTGGCTCAAGGTCTCTGAGGTCCAGTGCATGGCTGGCTGACTCCATTGCTCTGGGCCCAAGGTGAGGTGGAACAGTAGGGTGGAAGGACGTGGCCGAGGAAATCTCCACTCCTGGTGAGCAGGAAGCAGGGAGAGGGAGGGGAGGGGGCTGCACCCAACCTGGGCATGCTCCTCCCTCTCCCCCAAGCCGACAGGTCGCCCATGGGAACAGAACACAGGAGCTTTGGGGAGACACCTCATGATCGAACCTGAACAGTAAGAGAGTAGAAATGAACGATATTTTGGAAGAAACGTTGATGGAATATAGTTTTATTTTTTGGGTCAACTGAGACCGAAACGAAATAGGACAAATCAAAAACCCACAAAGAACAAAGCTACAACAACCAGGGAGGACCGAGCACATTACCTGAAGGACACGCATTGAGGGAGACGACCTGTGTTGGGTAGTTTTATTTGTCGGTGGAGGAAATGGCTCACCTCCCGCCTCTTCATTTTGAAATTAAGTGGTTTGACGCTTATTTAACTGAATCGTACACTATACATCCACTCCCGTGGCTCCTTACTGTTCCCTAAGGAGTTCTCTGGCGAGCAGATGCTGGAATAGAATAAGGAGGGCAAGAAGGAGTTGTGCCTGAGAGCCTCGTGGGAGCAGGGAGTCTGCTGCAGGAGTCCTGCACGGGGTGGGACCTTTGTGCCGGGCTTTCCCTAATCCCTGGAAGGGCGGCCGCGGGAGGAAGTGATCTTGGCTACCACTGCCATGACTCACTCCTTCTTGGGAGAGTCCAAGGAAGTTCTAGCCTCAAAGGCGGAGGAGCACCACAGTGAGGTTCAGGCTGGAGGCTGTCTGTCACTCACACTCCTGCTGCGAGGTGGCGGCTCTTGAATCACACTCCCTGGAGTGGCACGACTCCAAGTTTGACACGTTCTTCCTGCTCGCTGCAATTCTTTTTTCCAGTTGGTGCGCTTCGTCCTCCGGGTTGGCCGGTCGTTTTGATCTTGCCATTTTATGATGCAGCAGAAGGTGGCTGCGGGTAGCAATCCCAATCTCCTTGGTGGGGTTTTCTTCATCTGCTCTTTGCATTGAGGTTCCCCAGACATTTGGGCTTATTCCCCTTTCCTTATCCTATTGGCACTTTCTGGAAGATCTTCGCCACTTTCACGGTCTAACGTAGTCTATTTAATAAGAGGGGGATCTTTTGTGGCAGGCGTTACCTATACATGGATAATGATCTGTTACACCAATTTGGATTATACTGAGGGACATCAGACCAGAAACCTCAACAATGGTTTTGATGTAAAATGAGGCTGCAGGTGCCCAGTCTAGGGATGGTC